TTTTGATAAATTCGGGCAAATAATATGCTGTGATAGCAGATAATGTGTGATATTCTCCAAGAATGGTGCATTCGCAGTGTAGTCATTAGGAAAAAAACTTCGACCCTCTTTTAAGCGTTATTTTGAAATTTATTATCATTTTTGGGTGCAGTCAATTTGCTTTGAATGGGTTTTGAGAAGTTGCAAACCTCAATTTTCTACGTTTTTCAGTTTTTGACCAGCATTCCGTGACTCTTAAATTCAGCTAAATGAAATCAATTGCCTCATTCCTTCAAATTTAATCAATCCATAGTGTAAGGAATAATTTATTTCCAGGAAAAGGCAAACGGCTGATCATTTGTCACGTAGGTAGTGAAGACGGCTTTGTTCCCGGAGCACTGTGGGCCTTTGAATCAAAAAAGACAGGGGACTATCATGAGGAGATGGACGGCAATTCCTTTGAAAATTGGTTCTCCAAAATGTTACTAAAGCTGGAGAATAACGCTGTTATTGTACTGGATAATGCCCCGTACCATTCTAGAAAAATAGAAAAAATTCCCACAATGGCAACTAAAAAAGCAAACATACAACAATGGCTGGCCTCAAAACAGATCGATTTTGATGAAACAATGGTCAAGGGTGAATTGATAAGTATAGTCAATAGACATAAATACAAATACGATTTTAAAATGATCGACGAAATGGCCAAAAAACAAAATAAAACTGTCTTGAGACTGCCACCCTACCATTGTGAGCTGAACCCTATTGAGCTGATTTGGGCCAACATAAAGCAATACGTGGCGTCGAATAATAATACTTATAAATTTTCTGATGTTAAAAATCTCTTTCACATCGCAGTCAATAGAGTTACGGCAGAGGAATGGAAAAACTGTATCCGCCACGTTCGGGAGAAGGTTGAGGTCAAAATGTGGGATTTGGACAATGTCATCGATACCCAAATTGAACCTCTAATAATTCATTTAAGCGATTCAGAAGATTCAAGTTCCTCTTCTGAATGAGTGCGCGCAGCTTACTTAGTAATAACTAAAAAGTGTAGTTAACTCATTTGTGAATCTCTAACAGAAATTTACTGTAAAAGATAATAATTATCTTGTATGAAATTTTTGATGACTACCCATAATATCTTGATGCGGTCCTGTAATGTCTCCTGCGCCTAAACACTCACTCACGAGCAATATGCGTGTATTTGTTTGGGTTTAGTTTCTTTCTTCAGCGCCTAGAGTATAGTTCACCCATGTTAAACATTCATACCCCGCCTATGAACAGCCGACTACTGGTAGTTAAGTGATGTTCACGTGAACATCGATGAGTCATTACAGTTTTAGATAGTTATAGTATAGCATGCCACAGCTGATCCAATGTTTTCGTGATATCAAGAGCAACAACATGAGCTTCACCATAAGACTGGAAGTGTTTATTCCACAATCATAACAATTTGCACACCCTCCCAAAGTCAGGGGCTTGTCCGCTGCCGAATTAGATATGTACGTAAAAAACGTACGTTTGGACAATACTAGATAGGTACAACATAATTCTACCACTACTACCAAGAGGTGTAAATTACTCTATATGAACAAAAGTTTGGTTTTTGTATTTGATTTCGATCTATGCAATTAATTTCGATGTCGCCTTACCGCCAGATGTATGATTCGCTGAGACTCGTATAATTTCAACACTTTATTCTTATTGATTTCTACATCGATATCATAGATGTTTCAAAATTAACATAGCGAATGTATGTCGGAAAGACAACATCTAAAATAATTTCAATGTTCGAAAATCTGTTAGGATCAAACCACTGAAATCAGTTTGTTTTTTCATGAATATATCTATTCCATTTACTTTTAGATGTTCGAAAATATCCAAGAATTCTACAATTATTAAGGCTATTTACTAGAATGATTAGATATTTGATAAATATAATAACAGATACACTTCGACAAGAACCTTTAACAAACATTACGTTTAAAGGATGTGTCTTTTTTGTTAGATTTATCTAAAAAAAGTAACCCCTGCTTTGTGAAAATGCCATACTCGCTATTCAGTGAAAAAGAGGGGGAAATTTTCTGCCTCAGTGAGCATTTCCTGCAATTTTGCTCTCCATAAGCACAGGGATTATCCAAACAAAATTAAAGTTTAACACGGATATTTCCGAAATGACCTACTAAACAATTCATAGACATCGTCTCTTCACACATACATATCCTTAGTTGTTCGATTGCACTCTCATGTTGATGAAAATTTTCATAAAAAAAACTTGAGGAAAATTGTTATATAGGAAGCTTGGCGGACTATCTGTTTAAACCGATTAAAGCTTACATCATGCAGGTGTCTGTAGATGTTCTAACTAACCTCATAGTGCAGCAATATTTTTTGAACAGTAGATGTCTGATGACATTCAGAGATGAAGGTAAAGCTTGTAAAAGTTGAATAACATCACAGATTTTTTATGGTTAAGGAAGTTCACAGCATGATTACAACCAATATTATAATGTCATACAATAAAGATATTAAGTAGATTGACCGGTATTTTCCACGTATTTCAAACTGCCCATAAGTACAAATCGAAAATTCACTATATGTAAATGCTAAATATTATTAACATTATATGAGATAAAATATGATCATTACGTAATTTCATAAAAAAATGTTCTCTTTAAATAATTATAAACTTGATACTTTTACAAAATTTTGATGTTGAAAAAAGCAATCAATCAAATTTGCTTAGAGATGAATGTAGATTTGAAGAATAATTTTATTTATTTTATTTTAAGAGAAATCGGTAGCGTACCATCAATGTCTGCTAAAATAGACAGCACGAATGCCACTGGTGGAACTTAAGAAAAATGGTACAGTAAAAATCCTCTTGAGTAAATGAATGCCAAATTTAATTGAAATATCTAAAGTGGTTATTACAGATACTAATAATAGATTATTAATTTTTTTCAGCTTTACTACCCCGTATGTCAAAAGTTAAGACATTTAGAATAGGATAGGTTCATATAAAGTTTTCTTCTTAAAATTGACTCTTATATAAATATTGACATTCAATTAGGAAACAATCTGTATGGATTTATAGTTTTTCATTTTGTAAATATTTCGTGAATAATTTTTCCTATACAAAGCTATAAATTTCAATTACAGGATCAGCTTTAACAGTGAACCAAAGCATACCGTTTATCAATATCAAAGTTCAAGGAAATAATATGTATCCCGAGATAATCTTTAACTACTTCGGTTGTCAGGGAATAATTATAAACTCTAAGTCTCCAGTTACAATGTTCAAGAACTTTGAAAAGGAAATCAGGAAAAGGTCAGAACGATGGAATTCCAGAAGATTTCTGATTTTACAACGTGAGGATATGACAGAAAACATTTTCGATCTATTTAACACCAAGGAGATGGAGTATGTCTCTGATTTATTGGTGGTTGAAGTTAAACCAGACGAACGAAAAATGTTACTTTGGACCAATAAATATGTTGGCCCAGAAGATCACAATAAAAGGCTTCTTGTTGATGTCTGGTTCACTAACAACAACAGTTTTCAATTTGGTCAAAATTTGTACATAGATAAGCTAGCAAAACAGCAAGGCAGGCTGTTTAGACTATCTACATTAGAGTATAGGCCATATTCTATTCTTGGTAGGTATACATGAAAGTCAGTGATATACAGGGAAACCCAAATTTTTCTGACGGCTTCAATGTATACGAGAGAGAAGCGCGAGAAGTGTGTATCGACACATGTTAGAAATAGATAGAAGGCCGTGCCTAGCAACGTTGACGCAGAAGGTCGTGCAATATGCCGCGTTGCCAATTTGTTACACCAAAAAATGTACATACAGGCTGCTACAACATGTTAGGTTTTTGTCAAACCCAAGAAGGAGGTCTGTCCAAACATTTAATTTAATATTTTGTATTCATGTTGATTAGAATTATTTATTCCAATTTTGATGCGACTTAGTGTTTTAATTTATGTTAGAATTATCTTTGATTTTGCGACAGCGCTGCAGTCGGGAAATGTTAACAAATACTAATACGCATTAACGCATTACAAATTATTACTGCCTGCGTGTACGCAGGTGAAAGACATTCCGATTTCAACTATGATCAGGGAGGTGGAAATCTTGACTTGGAATGTACAAGATGCGGTGTTATCAAACGAACCAATGATGCAATATTGCAGAATTTGTGGCGACTCTAACCTTTCACTTCGACCTAAAGTGGAGCGCCGTTAGGACCGATCGGGAATCAATCCTAAACAGATTCGACACAATTCACAATTCAAAATTGTGTACGCTCAAAATAAAATCATTATTTGTGAGTAAACAATAAACTAACGCATATTTTCAATATGCATTTTAATTCAAGAAACTGCTGTAATATATTGGTAACGCGGAAAATTGTTGCGTCAGCGTTGCTAGATAACGCGGTAATCAGCTTCGCTATCCAGGCGGCTTCTATCTCTTTCTAACATATGTGTCTATAAACACTTCTCTCTCATACACAGTGAACTCAAGCCGTCAAACAAACTCTCAGTGTATATTCCACCTGTGGCAGAACTGTTTAAAGATATCCAACAATTTTGATTCGCTATATGTGATATGGGGACGATCTGATTCTTTTATTTTTGTCCACAACTTGACCTCCACTGGCCCATCAAGAAATGAAACCTTCTATGAACCTACAGTATAATGAGCTTGAAGTTTTATTAGAATCGGTGTACATGTTTCCAATATTACGAGGGTACAAGATCGCCAACAGACAGATACTCAGGTCAACAGACAGAAATAAGCGACATGAATTTTCGTAATCACGAAATACAAAAAAAAGTATTACCTTAAAATTTGAAATTTTTCGCGATTTCAATACTTCCTCCTCGGGGAGTAAAAGAATAAATAACCACATTAGGTCCAAGCGAAGAAGATCTAAAAGGCTCTGAAATGATGATTGCCGTGGAATTTGCCAGGAAGCATGATATGACGCCTATTACAGTGGTGGATATGAATGATACATGGGGTGAAATATACAATCAATGGACTGGCAATGGATGGCAAGGAACTGGACTCCTGGGAAATCTAGGCAGAGATGATGCTGATGTAGGATTTGGTATGTCAGATTGGATGTTTGATTAGGTTTTCAAAAACTTGTATCTAGATATTTATATTACTGCATGTTTCAAGCTTCAATGGCAACTTGGACGATCTATTACGATTTCCTAGACTTTTCTAAGCCTTCAGTACGAACAGGGGTCACAGGACTTGTTCCAGCACCAAAGTATGTAGCTTGAAAATACTGTCGAGATAGCAATCATCTAGTTATATTAATTTTTCAGATTAGCATCCAGATGGTTGATACCTTTTTACTCTTATTCGAAGACGATGTGGCTAACTGTTGCCATACTTTTCTTTACATGTATAATCGCATTATTTGCCATTAGATACTGGACTCCTGCAAGAAAGAATAGTGAACCGTAAGTTCCTATAATCTTAGACCAGGCATAACACATTTTATATCTCAATAATGCTCAAGCCGAGGTCCTAGTAATGTTGTTCAAACTTGTAATAAAGCCGTAACTAATACCAAATACATGAAAGGAAACATATTTGCTTTTAGGTTGACAAATGACATGGTGAACTTACTAGACTCATCCGTTTGGAGTATCCTCAAACTGTTTATCGTACAACCTGTAAGCGAATGGGAAATTGTGCAAGGTAATTTTAGTCTTTTTGAGCGATATTCGCTCATGCTTTAAAACAGCAAACTTTAGACAATATCAAGAAGCTGTTAATGGAAAAAGATATTTCTTAAGATCGATCAGAGTGATCTTGGTAATATTTTTTTTCTTTCCTTTTTGTAGATCGATAAAAATGAAAGAAAAAATGGCGCCTATTAGATCCTACGCCTTCGTTACAGGTTTCAAAGAAAAGATATGAGTCAAATCGCTTCAAAAGGCAAAATCGAATCGTGCTTAGGTAGATTCACTTAGGTACGATGAACCTACAACCTCTGCACATCAAACTGTATAAAATAAATCTATCGTATTTCTGCTTGCATGGCAGATGTGGGGTAAATATATGTGACTTAATATCTAACAGATGCATATTATCACTGAGTTCGGCAGATTCTTAATAACAGAAGGTCTTGCACTGAGACCAAATATGCAACAATTGGAAATGAAACGTCCACGACTACCTCAACGATGGAAGTATTAAATTCGCAATAATATTCGAACATCGGTTCACAAATTTTCTGTTTGAAGATATCTGCATCACACAAGTCCGTGCTTTTCATTTATGTCGGTTTGTGGGTACGTGCCTGTTGTATATCAATGAGTCAATCTACTTGACGAAATATTCAGAGAACCATCATAGAGGGAATATCACAAACTGAAGATTAAGCGAAATTATAAGGATTATAAAATTCAGAAAAATATACGTGTAGATATAACGCTAAAGTGGTACGTACTCCTAAGTATTGCTGCAATATACAGGGTGATTCACAAGTTATCCGACAAAATTTAACCACAAAAGAAGCTGATTCCTCAAAAAAAATATGTAATAAAAGTCATACAAAAATCGAGATAATAAAATAATACAGTTTAACAGTTCACTTACTTATGAAAGCTATTCAAAATTGTTTCCATTGACTGCAATGCAAGCTTGGGCACGTCTAATCCAATTTCGGCGCACTAATTCAAATACACCTTCTTCCTGCTGTGCCTGAAGGCTCAAATTATCATCAGCCACGGTGATTCGGTCACGCAATTCTACAATATTCTGAACTGGAGTACGGTATACCACGTTTTTCAAGTATACTCATAAAAAGAAGTGCAGAGGATTTAGATCGGGAGACCGTGGAGGCCATGCAATTGGTCCACCCCTTCCGATCTAGTGTATCTGGTATACCTGATTCAAAAAATCATGAACTTCTAAACAAAAATGCGGAGGCGCCCCATCATGCAGAAACCACATCCGTGCTCAGACCGTCAATGGCACATCTTCTAGAAGGACCGGCAAATCATTCCGAAGAAATTCCAAATACTGGTGACCATCCCCGATCAGACAATGTGAACGGTCCAATTAGACGTTCATCGACAATACCTGCCCACAAGTTTAAGGAAAAACGATGTTGGAAGTGTGTCTGGACCACTACGTAAAACGGGCGTTTCGAGCATTTTCTTGCAACAATCACTCACAGAATCTTACTCTTAGTAGTTAGGCTGTAGGTAGCAACGCCCGGACTCTCTGGACGTGATAAGGGTACAGTTGGGCCTCACGTAATATGCGCCACACTGTTGCATGTGACACTTTTGGGACCTGTTGGGCTAACTGCCTTGTGCTTATTCCCGGATTTTCTTCCACATTATCCAAAATTTCGTCTTCGGCATTCAAAACGCGTTGTGGGTGAACCCGACCCCCATCCACTGCACGTTGAACTAACTGTTTCGTGATGTGGTATGTGCCTATTCGGAAATTGGTGTGCATACAAACGAGAATCCGCTCGCGAACTTTGCCCTGCTTCTCCGTACGCTAAAACAGTCCACTAACTCCTCATTAGTGTACACATGTGCCATTTTTATTAATAAATATATAACTGAAAACATAAGCTCAAAATACTTTCTTATTTAACTTCACAAAAATCGACCGTTCTTCACTCAGATTACCCACGATACAGATTAAACCTTATTTACACGTACTTATCAGTATGAGAAAACAAAAAATTCCTGGTAATTTGTTTTCGTCAGTTGTTTGGTACAACATTTGCCGCAATAAATTATGAATGCGTGTTCTTTAACACGACGATGAACGCAAAATACAGATATTTATTTTTCCAATTTATTATTGAAACTTAATTTCTGTAGGACTTTTATTACTTTTTTTTTTTAAAATCAACTTCTTTCGTAACATTGCATATGTGGTTAAAATTTGTCGGATAAGTTGTGAAACACCCTGTATGAATATTTCTCCTGTAGCGGCGTGTCACTGACGTCAACACCGTAGACCAGGTGGAGTTTGCTACCCATTTCACAGTCGGCAGCAGCATCGTGCCGTGTTATTGCCAAGTTATTTTTTTTATTGTGAGCCCGTTACACATCGAACCTTTATCATCTAATTTTCCCATTGTTACCGCGATCAGAACCTTCTTAATGATAGAACGTCTTTAGCTAATACCAGAGACGTTACATTTGCAACCTCCTACCCCCTACAACCCCCAACCCCAACGTATCAGCACCTACAAAAAAAATTACGAAAATGACCAGGAGTCTCTTAAATGTCAAAAAACAAAGTTTACGCGATTTTAATTTTTTTCGTTTTTCTGCCCCTCCACCACTAGACTGGTTTTCAAAAACTACAAACGTTTTTCATCCTTGGCAAAGTAGTGACCTTGTGTGAAATTTTCATCAAAATCCGAACGGTAAACACTTCTAGGCAGCTATAAAATAAGCGAAATGAGTGACATGGTTTTTCGTGATATACGAGGGCGGTTCAATAAGTACCCGTGTTAGAAATGAAGACATAATTTTTTTCCAAAAAACTTCTTTCTATTTTTCAACATAATCCCTTTTTAAAAAGATACACTTTTCCCAATGTTCCTGCCATTTTTTAACCCCTCCAAAAAATGGGATTTGTCGAACTTTCGAAAATACGCCTCTGTGTCGGCGATGACTTCCTCTCTCATTTCCGAGTGACATGGTTTTTCGTGATATACGAGGGCGGTTCAATAAGTACCCGTGTTAGAAATGAAGACATAACTTTTTTCCAAAAAACTTCTTTCTATTTTTCAACATAATCCCTTTTTAAAAAGATACACTTTTCCCAATGTTCCTGCCATTTTTTAACCCCTCCAAAAGATAGGATTTGTCGAACTTTCGAAAATACGCCTCTGTCTCGGCGATGACTTCCTCGTTTAAGCTAAATTTTTCATATCAGAGAACAAGAAAATGTCGCAGGGGGCCAGTTTGGCGGCGACAACTCCGGATTAATGTGCTGGTGCGTTATCGTGGTGAAACAGCACCTTCTTTTTCGTCCAATGTGGCCGTATCTCCTTCAACTTCTTGTCGGAGCGGTCCAAAAGATCACTATAGTATTGTCCAGTGATCGTTTTCCCAAAAACTCCACGAGGATGACGCCGTTCGCATCCCAAAAAATCGTCGCCATGACCTTTCCGGCCGATGGAACCGTCTTCGCCTTCTTTGGAGCAGATTCACGGGAGAAATCCATTGTTTTGATTGTTGCTTAGCTTCTGGTGTGCAATGATGAATCCAACTTTCATCGACGGTGACAACACGACGCAAAAACTCCTTCGGATTTCGCTTAAATTGCTCCAAACACTGCTTCAAAGTTAACAGCCGCATCCGCTTGTTGTCCACCGTGAGCAATCGCGGCATCCATCGGGTCGACAATTTTTTCATAGTCAACTTATCATGTAAAATATTGATTGTCGACACACCTACGGCCTCTGCTACTTCGCGCACGTTCGTTCGACGATCAGCAAGAATCATGTCATGGACTTTTTGAATGATTTCCTCGGTAACCACGTCTGCCGGGCGTCCTGCTCCATCCTCATCAAAAACGGATGTTTGCCCGCATTTAGCTTCTTTGAACCAATATCCAGCTGTGGTCATATATGGCGAAGTGCCCCCATAAACAGCATCCAACTTTGCTTTTATCTCCTTGCATTTTTTCCCATCCAAAAATAAAAAGCGAATTACCGAACGATGCTGCTCTTTTTCCATCTTGGCGAAAATCACGAAGCCCGTGTTACTCGAATGGCTGCCAAGTCCAAACTAATCTATCAATCAGTCTGACATTTGATGTACCGTCGTTTGATAGATAGCAGCACACGATGATAACATTAACTTCTCTCAGGAACACCTCTGTCGTTAAACACGGGCACTTATTGAGCCGCCCTCGTACATGTCATATAACATCAAAAAAGCATTATAGCCAAATTCCGAAATTTTTCGCGATTACAATACTTCTTCGCTAGTTTTGGCATAGGAAGTAAAAATTGTCAAACTTATTCTCAATTTGCACTAATTTATGTTTATTCACTGTGAATTTAAAACGATAGTCTCATGAAAAATATAATGAAATACATCCATGATGAGCGACTAATCAAAACGTCTAGACTAAAAGGGTGACTGAAAAGCTTTGGCATGTTTCACATTATTGATTAAATACAATTTATGTTGCTTTCATTAAAATTTGTGGCTCGCTCGACAATTGCCAAGATGATCCTGATCGACAGAAGCTTTGAGTATATTTTAGTTTCCACAGTACATCGAACAAATTAAAAACTGTAAATTGCTTATCAACTTTCAGGTTTCAATGGAGGACTTTTCATGTCTTTGTTATTTCTTGCTAGTTTGTTTCTTTCCACCACCTATAGCAGTGGATTCTCTAGTATAATGACAATACCTCTATATGAAAATCCCATCAATACTGTCATGGATTTTTACGAGAGTGGACTAGAATGGGGGGCAACTGGAACTGCATGGATTGAGTCTCTGAGAGGAGCTGAAGATGTAAGATTTTTGTCATTGCCTATTAATCAACAATTAAATTAAGAAGCCGAAAAATAATGGCAGACCAATCATATTGTTTTATTTGACATCGTAATTGTATTTATAGGGTTAATTTAGTAATATTGCATAATTAACGAAAAAAATATTTTCAACAGTACTCTACTGAAACTTTGTCATATTAAAATTTTTAGCACGTTACTAAGGAAATAGTGCGACGATTCATAGCTGTTTCAGAAGAAGAACTTCACAAATTATCCTTCACATACAAATTTGGCTTTGCTATGGAGAGACTACCAAATAGTAAGTATCTATAGGGTGTATCCAGGGAATCGTGATTCCATAATTTATTTGTCATTTGTTCTATATATCATTGTCGAGTCATATTATTTTGGCATAATTTAAATTTTGTATAGGTAATATGTACATTTTCACTCCTTTAAGGGTAACTATAGCATTGCGCCAACTTAGAGCGGGCTGATTGTGGCTATGGATATACACGATAACGTATTGGTTATTTGAGACCTACGGCACTTTGACTATCCGAATCAGCATAGTGAAAAATGAACTTTTATGGAATGGTTTCACCAAAATTCAAAATATCCTTGGCATAATCTTCATCTACAGACTCCTAAAGTTGATCACATCAGTCTTTTCTTCTTTTAGGGAACTTCGCTGTGGGTGCCTATGTGGCTAATAACGTTATAGGTGATTATCGGGTAATGGTTGAAGATTTTTACTGGGAACATTGCATTTTCATGCTAAGGAAAAGTTCCATCTTTCTTCCGAAGTTTGATGCCTTTTTACTGAGAGTATTCGAAACTGGACATATCAATCATTGGCAAAGTGAGGTAAACGTAAAATAATTTGAAACATAAGAGTAATTTCCTTCATATTTAGAAGTACCTTTGTTGACTTCAAGATGTTTGAGATAACAGCTTAGTAACTTTATCAAATGGGTAATAGAACTAAAAATATACAGAATGTCTGTAAAGTTAGGGTTTTCCTTTTCAGACACAACTATGCTTGAAACGTGAGAGAACAAGTAAAAAAATAAATGAAAAAGTACTCACTGTTCAGTTGAATTGAAATTCCAAGTACGGCTCTGTCGTAAAATACGTATTTGCATCGAAGTCATACGTGAACGAGGGATAGGACAGGACCGGCTTCGGTTTGGCTCGGGTTTGATTGTGTTTGCGGAGCCCAATATCTCGGTTCTCTGAAGACATTGGTGTATGCTTCTTAGAAAATCCGCGTATTTTCTCAAGATCTACACATCAAGTAAAGGAAAACCCCAACTTTGCGGACACCGTATATAGAAAAACGTCATAGTGTTTTTCAAATAGCTCTTCCCCTACTGAATGGTTAGCAAGCTCAAATACGGGATGATGACATTGATGCATTTTAGTGTAAAAGTGACTGTTAAAAATTAGAAAATGGCGGCTGGACACCTTCTTTCAGCATTTTTTTAAATGGGATGGGGTCATGCGATAACTCGTTTTAAAGCTCCTTATGAGTAAGCATATCTGAATATTTAATAAAATATGGGTTATTCTATTTAAAAAGATGTCAAAATCTGTCAATTTTTGAAACTGAATATCCCATATTTTTACCAAGGGTGTTGTTGCTAACAATTTGTGGAAAGGGAACTATAACACGAACATGGATTTTGACGGATTTGAAATAAAAAAATAGTTTAACAGTAAACGATGTAAATAACAATGTAAAAGTAAATAAAAGTATTCGTATATAGTGCATGGGTGAGCGTCCATCTGATGAATTTGAAATGTTTTGGGGAATGGGGCTAAGGATTTATGTCTGGGAAGATGCCTGTCTTGGTAGGTATGGCGTATCAGAAATTCATCATGGAACATCGGGGATACTGAAAATTGAAGAGTGGGGGGAGGGGTCGCCTACAAATTGAAAATGACGTTCCAACTTTTTCACTCGGGGTCCAGACCCCCAGGATACCCCCTGGATCCGCCACTGATTCAGGTTAGACCTTTGATGATTAGTTGTTGAGTTATAGGTGATTATGTACAAAAATGTTTAATTTTGACAGCTCGTCATTTTAAAATGTAGATTTTGGAGTTATAAAGTACTAATAAAAAACTTCAAATGAGGTGTAATATTACCCCTCATGCAGTCTCTATCTTGAAATTCACAACTATTATTTTTTACGTGGATATCCCTAGTAATGTTATAAATAAGAAAGTGTGAATGTTTGTTACTCAATTACGCCAAAATGGCAGAATGAATCTTGAAAAAATTTGGTACCTACAGACATATATCATATCTGGGATACACATAGGCTACTTTTTGTTCCAGGAAATAAATTTGAAATATCTATTTTGTAGGCTACAACCTAAACGGCTTGATCTAGATTTAGGTTTGCTTCAAGTAAAATCTGTATCGTTTCTGTATGATTATTTTTGAAACCGGATAACAAGCTCATATGTCTAAGGCAACTTCAGTAGGATTTGAGATTTTACTGACAGTTATAATTAAGGCCAGCTTCCACTGTTTACGGTTGTACCCTTTTTTTTAAATCAAAATTTATTATGTGAGTGATATGAAAGAACGTTATAGGAAGCTTACTTTGATCATACCATAGTTACTGTCAGTTCCCTTAAAAACTAATTTTGATGTCATATTTGACGTCATCGACGAATTACGTTTGTTATCTTAAAACTTTTCATTAAACCTGTTTTCCGAAAGATACGTCGTTTCCAATTTTTCGGAGTGTTCGGGTATTTCATAGACACCCTGTAAATATTGGTAAATTCTATGATGAGTGCGCGGATAAAACCATGCCTATTACCTTCCTCGGGTATTAATTTATGAGTTTGAATATTGTATTGCGCTTCTTTCTCCTAAACTAATACAAAAACGTATGACCTGTGTTTTACACTACTTCCACGCGAAGCGGAGCCGCGGGTTTAGCCTAGTATAGTATAAGTACATACAACCATGTAACCATATCACCACCCGAGATTTAGCTTGCTATCTTAATTCATTCAAAAAAATAAGTAGGAGGGAAAGTTTTTGAGAAGCACTGTATATGTTTGAAATTTGACAAAAAGTATTTCCTAAGAATCCATAAACAATTTTCCTCGATTTTGTTCAGAATTTCGGGGAACATTCAATCTTATTATCAAGGCTTGAATAAATTCAGCTTCAGAATTTTTGATAGAGATGACAGCATATAAATTTGATGTTATAATCTCGTATACAGTTCTAAATAGTTCATGTATTAAAAAAGTTTACTGGGGTTTTGATTACACCTGCTTTATCGAAGTACCTAATAAATTATGTTTCAGGCTATAATGCAATATATGGACTTCGAGGTTCAAAAAATTGTTGAATTTTATAATTATCAACACCAAGTGGAGCATGTTGTGGAGAAATTGACTATAACTCATTTAGAAGGAGCGTTCGCCATTTTGATCATTGGACTAATCAGTTCTACAATATCATTCATTATTGAGCTGTTTATATATCGATACAGACAGGTCCATACTTTGAGATTACCTTTGAACAAAATATGTTCCAGGTATTTTATACGTCGGCAAAATTAAATGTTCAATAGTCTAAACAGATTTTTCTCATCCATTATTCAAGTATGATGCAGTTCACCTTGTTTTATTTCGGCATTTCTACTACGCTCGATAGCATCGGTTGGCGTCATCAGAAGTAATACGTAATAACGATACAAACTGATAAATAATATGGTGAATGCGCTAGCTAACAGTACATTAACGTATGTCCTAAAAGTTTTGGCACAAAATTCATTGGATTTAATTTTAGCAAACACAAAATAATATCAGGTTGCCTTTGGAAACAAAAGTTTGCTCACTTACTTTAATGTCAGTTGACATTTATTTGTTTTGAAGTTTTGGCTTGAAGATGTATAAATTAGAAATAAGAAAAAGTATTTACAAGTTTGTTTGGGCAAAAAGTGGAAGACCACGTCCATTTACTGCACAGAGGTCAGAGAGATTGGTGAGCAGAGCAAAAAATCAGGTTGGAATGTCAACAAGGAGACTGCTCGTCAATACAGACCTTCTATAAGTACAGATCGTTGAAATTGATGAGGAATGGTCTTAAATATCGAAAGAGACTTAAGTGCCCCAAATACTCTCAAGCGCAACTCCTTCGTCTACCAAGATGCGGCGGGTACACTCCGCCAATAAAAAAAATCATTATTTTAGATGACGAAAAGTATTTCACTTTGAGTAGTTTGAATTGAAGGGAAACGTCGGATTTCATAGGACAACATAGAGGAATGACCTGACAATGTTAGATACAAGCATAAAGCGAAATTTGCAGAAAAAATCCTTGTCTGGTGTGTAATTTCTAACAGGGGTGTATCGCAACCTTTTGTGAGAAGAGTAAGGGATGAAGCTTTGAATAGTCAGAGCTATATTGAGAACTGCCTTTCCAAATTACTTCATTTATCCACGACTATCATGCTTATTACCATATCATGCTTTAGCCAGACCTAGCATCATGCCATTACTCAAGAGATACCAAAAACTGATTTCAACAACACAACATACCTTTTGTGCCCAAAAACGATAATCCTCCAAACTTACCACAGGCTCGCTCGATAGAGGATTTTTGAGCTTTTCTGTCTAGGAAGGTTTATCATGGTGGCTGGGAAGCCCAAGATAAAGAACAATTAAGACGGCGAAAACTGAGAGAAATTTATCTGAATTCCGTCCGGAACCTCATGAGAGACACTCGCTAGTTGCACTTCCACCAGGATCTGGAAAAATGAAGTGTACTCATTGCAGTAGTTGTAATCAGTACCTAATATCACTGATTAACGTATTCCACCTGATGATAGCCAACTACATACTGTATTCCGGCGCCCAAAAAGGATCTGAAATACGCTAGCGTCGTCTAGAAGTCCAGAACACAAAAGTGAACTTAGAAATCTACTTTAAAGAAGTTAGTGTATGGTGCTGCTACTTATACATATATAGATGGTGCTAGGATTTTCAATATCTTGTTTGTACTTCTCTAATGACTATTTATATTGACGTCGAAGTCCTAGAGGAGAGCGGAACTAAATGTTTGTAGGTACAGAGCATAATAGAGACTGGAAGCCACGAATACGAGTTTTCGTTTTCGTTCGTAATTGTTCTTGGGAAAATATTACTTCATAGGAGAAACTAGACTGTGGCAGCATCAGATGCAAACTGTCAGTCAAAAGAGGTACCCTCATTTCAGAATTTTCTGTTCTGGTCAGGTGCGGTCATAACATCGAACATTAGACGACTTAGAGACGGGTTTCTACCTCTTCTATATCATCTCAAATATCCCTTATCATTGACACTGAAGACCACAAAACACATAAGACTGTGGTCATTAATCCCAGGACCAGAGGCGAATTTTTGTTTTTTCCCCAGAGCGCTGAATCCTAAAATACGCGATTGCCCGGCATCGGTATTACGTGATTAAAAAGTGACATTATATCGATGTTTAATGCCATCATGTAGGTTTTTCGAAAAAATGTTACCTTGCAACTAGCTGTCATACACTTCATGTTCACTTGTACCAGTTGTGCGTACTGCCTAAACACTTGAGCTATTTGGCTAGGCTCATCTGATGTGATGTAACATCTGCCTCAGATACAGCACTAGTGGAGGTCAGTTATGGCTTTTATGGCTTAGGGCCGGTTTCATAATTAAAATTAATTCTCCAGTTAAATTTAATCGAGATTTTAACGATTGAATGAATTTCATAATCTCTAATCAGCCAGTTAAAATTTTCTAATTGGCCGTTAAGTTAACTGCTCTATTTCGGCCTGTTAAGCGGTTAATTGGGAATTAAATGTTTAACATAACATTTCTTTCTTTGTTGTGTCGTTTGGACGTTATTTGTTGAACTGCAGATTGAAGCGATATTTTTATACAAACCGACATTACTTTGAACAATATGGTAAGTATTTACAGTACAAAAAAATCCTTGGAAATATTTATTTTCATGTACGTGTTTATATCCTAGATAAATCTATGGCAAAGTAGCAGTTGCAGCTCTTCATCTGATGAGGACATATCTACTATTCGTAAAATGAAAGTGTATAGGAAAAGAGAAGATTACTTATTTCACGAAGTTTGATCTTTTATGTCCATATCTGATGACAAAACGTCAAGATATTAATGTGGAGGCAGAAAATTTTTATAATGAATCAATAATTAGGACACGAAATGTGGTAGAGAGGCAATATGGTGTTTGGAAAAGACGATTTTGTATCTTAAAATTAGGTATGAGACTTGATCTACATACAATCATGGCAATAATTGTCGCCACAGCGGTCCTACATAATATTGCTATAGAAGAGAATGAAGCAATACCTGAAGAGTGGATCGATCATTCTGAAGATGAGGAAATAAATGAACAGGGTGATGTTAGATATGACAATCGCTCAGGCCAGGTTGTTAGACAGATGTTAATAAATGAATACTTCGCCAATTTATAACAAATCTATATTCAATACAACTAATTGTTAAGCATCCTTCGTTTTATTTCTAATTCTAAAAGTTCTACTTTTTTTCTATGTAGTTCCCCTTCCCACTCGTGTTTCTCTGCATCCCTCTTTCTCTCTGAATGTCTTCTTGTTCTAGTCTGCTTCTTTTAATTTCTTCTTCTGCGAACATAATTTTTTTTTCATAAAATAAATTTTTGCTAGTAGAATTCGTCTGTCTAAGTCTTTTTGACATGGGCGTCTTCAACTTCTTTGATGTCTAATTTCCCCAGCTCTAAAAAAGTATGAAATAAGACTATGTAAAAAGGAGGACTTGATCATAAGCAAAATATACTATAATATACAAGTGGTCAGTGTTATTCTAAGATTTAATTTAATCCTAGTCTTCAAACTTTCTAGTCTCGGATGTTCGACGCATGGTGGCGCCAACGTCTATTATCGGTGTCAGTGTCGCGCTTGAACTGACAACTGAAGGAAAAATTATATAAAATGAACGATAAAAAAAATTTTTCGAGCGCCGAAAAATAATTTCAGATCTGTCTTCAGCGGTCAACACTTAAGTCTGTCAGAAGCCTCAGAAATGTCGAAAAACGGACTTTGACCATTTTGTGTTTGTTTTTCGACGATAACTCCGCCGCCACTGTACCGATTTTCAAAAATTGCAGAGCTTTTTCGTGATTTTCATAGTAGTAACCTAGGGTCAAAATTTCATCAAAATCCTGATAATACTTTCAGAGTTATAATTTATTTAATCGTTTTCGTTAGTTATGAAATGCAAGTCAATATATTTCTCAACCAGTCTTGCATTGCAACAGGACATTATAATGAAACAACTGTAAGCACTTAATAATTTATAATTTACTAAAATAAATATATATCCTTAGGCCAGCCATAACTCACCTGCGCAAACGATATTTGGGGCTGGTCATTTTTTAACCTCGGTGGAACTTCTAGAATTTATCCTATTATTGCTCCTCAAATCCATTGTGTTCTATCTGGTCAAGGCCAGCTTGAAAAAAAAAAACATGAAAATTGCTCAGAAAGCCAATATTTTATTATATAAGAACAAAATAAGTACGTTGCATTTAAAATTAACTAGTGTAATAATATTAAAGATTCAAACATAACAAACGAACATGATGCCAAAAAATTCATATTATCGTATGGACGCTAGACAAGACAAAGAAGGATGTCTGTAGACCATCTATAGATCGTGTCTTGATACCGTCTCCAGACTGCCTATAGACAAATTGCGCAATGGGGTCTACTAGAATGGAATAAGCTTAAGGATTAAGACTCTGAACTGCCCATTAAACAAATCAAGTAAATGGTGCAAATACTGACACAATCGAGCATTTCTATTATACCAGCAGTATAAGGCATGTATTCCTCCATTCCGTCGTGGATAATTTCGGTTATCGAAGTATAGACAGCCGACGCATCCGCGTCAGTGAAACAGACATTTCTCCAAGGAAAGCTAGAGAAGATAGAGAAGAAGTCTCTGAGCCCCTCCCAGTCGGCATGTCCGTAATGCCAAATTTTGCGGCCTGTGCGAGTTTCTGCTGCCACAGCGGGTTCTGACCGAAACCTAACCTCCACAGCATCGTGGTCTGAACTACCCAGGGGGGCAGGACAGCAGTGCTGTAAGGGACAGGATGCGTGGTCAGAAAGAGATCCAGCAGGATATTGGCATGTGACGAGACGCGGGGGAAAAAGTAGGGCCCGTCACCAGCTGGGTCGGCCCTTGAGTAAGAGCGAACGCTTGAAATGTACGACCTGCTGCATCGGTTTTGAGCCCAACCAAAGCAAATTATGGTCATTTAAATCACCGAGGAGAACTGCCTCTGAAGCGGAGTGATTGATTTTCAGGAAGTCGATCTTGACGGCGAGATATTCAAGAAGGTCATCCCAGTTATGGTCCGAGGGGAGCGATAAAGGCAGCAAATAAATTTGGGGGATGTTTTGGAGTTGAGGCGAAGCCACAGAATGTCCTTCCGGTCTGATTCCAGAGAAACATATCTGCAGCAGGAAAGACTGCGGACAAAGGCCACAACTCCCCCGTTCTTTCTCAGATTGGAGTGCACCTCGTAATTTGGTGAGCTAAGATGGTTAATCGGTGCGGACTCTGAGATTTTTGTCTCCGCCAAGAAAAGCATGGCGGTACGATTGGATTGCAAGTAGTGATGAACAGCATCAATGTTGCTGTTAATCCCGCAGATGTTCGTGAAACAAATTTTATCTTCGAGGTTCTTCCCTCGAGTCCACCCTCCACCTGGACATTCTGAGAGTCGAGTGAGCTTACATCCGGAATTCTTAGTACTCGAGGGATGCATCATCATTAATTTCTTTGTTTTGGAAGATAACCGACTGCATAGCTTGGGTGTGGAAACATGCGGACATTTATAAGACACCCTGAGAAAAGCTATAGGGTGGTATCGCCTCGACCGACTGGTCCTTGTCTACCTCCTTCTTTTTGCATGTCAATGATATTAAATAGACCTAAAGTGGCCCGTTGGCGGACTTGTACCGCCACCCGGCAATCGGTACTGAGGTATTCCTTACCGCGTGTACAATCACTTGTACGGGAAGAACTTGTATGCTGGATACAACAACTTCCGGAACAAGCATTTGCCACGGCCCCGCTCAGTAGGGGTTGGGGTTTTTGAAATTCAATATAGATTTTACAGTTATTTTTCAGACTGTCGTTGTCGAACTTAGATTTACGGCATAGTTGTTTTCTCAGTTTTCGAACCGGTGTCGCATGTAGAAATGTTGGAAATCCTTGGAAAAAGCTATATCTGTCAGATTGTAATTATTTTGATAATGTATGTTTGTATTAAACAAGTATAGGAATACAGGGCTGTACATATTCACGTTCGATTGACGCAGTTTCTAGACAGGCCACAAGCGCACCGCTAAACAAATCTCATAAATGTCTATTTCCAATTTAGGCATTCATCTAACATAGTGCTTCGCTGCAACGCCAACCCCGAACAAAATCGGTCAAGCTTTACACACTTTTCAAATTACTAGTGCGCAACAAACGGAACATAAATCACTTTTTAAGTGCAATCTGTATCGCTAATATATTACCCAGACTTAGGCCCGTATCGTCAGTCGTCCCTACAATTGTTGGGCGCCTTTATGGCCTCCTTGATTGTCATAGTTTTCTACTTCTCAGTGTCAGCGCTCTATTTTGAGGTTATCTCACAAACATCTATTTGCATCAAATTGTGCTTGCTTTTGAGTTATATCATGTTTTAACAGCCTGAAATTTCCTACAATTGAAAAAGAAAACATATCTTCACAATAGGAGAGCGCTGATGCTGACACGGGACAAGTATAATCTAGAAATTTTCGAAGGAGGGAAAGGAGTATGACAATCAAGGAGGCCATAAACGCGCCCTACAATTGTAGGGACGACTGACGATACGGGCCTTAGATTTGTCAGAAGTCACAATACTCGTATATACTTAAAATCGTAAGAGTTGTGCTGTAAATAAGTGATGTCAAAGAGGGACAGCATTTGGAATACCAAAGGATACCAAAAAATCATAATGCTCAGTTCCTGTAGCTATAACTTATAGTTAGAATGCCTCCGTCACCTTGATATGACAGAAAGTAACACAATGGTGTTAGATTGCAAAAACAAATGTCAGACGTATTGGGGGGACGCGCGCCCCACTCTAAATCCGCCAGTGAATTGCGAGACGAACCTTTCGCGACGCACGCCTTGCGATGTCTGCGGCTTAAGGCATTCGCCACAACGTGTGGGACCGGTTTTAGTTGATTACTAACAGAGCTGTCAAAAGTGTTGTTATGTCAGACGTCAGACATTTCTCGTGTATTCAACTGTATTAGTGTATACTGTAATGAGTGGTAAGAGGCAAGGTGGTGGTTTTTCATATTTTGACCATTGATTTTGGTCTTTTACAATAACTGGAAAAAGTGTTTATCGAAAGAGCATTCTCAAGCAGTTTTTTAATAAGTTCCAATCTGAAAGAATAAACACAGCAATGGTAAGCAAGTACTGTGGATACATTGAACAACACTACAATACGCATTTTCCTATTGCAGTCTGTGGCACAGTTTTTGGAAGGCCTGCCTTCATACAATGAGAATAACTTCACGAAATTCCACGTAGATAATAATAACAGATCACCGCTCAAACGACCATCTGTATATGTTCCCACAAAAGATTTTCCATCAGAACAAAGTGAGTATCAAATTTTCACAAATCTTATATTGGACATTACCTGTTTATTTTCTCTTCCAGTAATTGTAACAGAGAAGACAAGCATACTTTTGAAATATATCCAGCAGCATTGGGATAAAAAAGTCAATGTAAGTACCTTATTGTTCAACACTTTTTGTCTATACTACATTCTGCAAGAGTATTGTAAGATAATATTTATAATAGCTTAGATCTAAGAATGAAATTGGGACAGTGTAATTGATATGATTTATCCTCAGAATGATGTCTCTCAGTGAGTGTATTTTGCAAAAGAAAATGGAAAAATGCTGGGAAATTCAGCTACAAAAGCACACACACAAAATTTTGCCAGTGGGCTAGCAAAAAACATACCTTATATTTATTACTTGACCAATGATTTTTCAGTCCAAATCAATAACATCAACATTTCCATAGTTTTATTTTGAACTAAGCATCTGGAAGACATCATCATTTACCCCTGGTCAAAATAAACACTAGCATGTTACATTCAAATTCCCGCGCTAATATTATCCAGAGGGCCATAAATGCCTGGGCAGGCAGAGACAAGCAAATCATCCTATTAGAGCATTACTATACCATTTCAAAGACAGCAATTGCTGCCTTCTGCATATAAAACACTTCTGCGCTGCAGGGATAGAAGTGTAGGACACAGACTAAATTTTTAATCGGTTGTTTTCGGTATTATCGGCCAGCATAGACATGGGATACTTCTGCAGCACACAAGATGACCTTCAATGCCCATGTTTGTGTTGATGCCAAGTAAAATAGGTTTGAACAGGCAATAGTTATCTAGCCAGTTCTCTACTAGTAATATATTTTTTTCTTATGGCAAAATTCATATTGCTGCATTTGTTATATTCATGTTCTTAGTTCATAAAGGTTTACTACATTTTTATCAACAAAAGTAGCTAGAGGACTTTTACAGCTGGAGATGTAATTTATATGTTGGGTGAAAAGCCAGGCTTATTCAGGACCCCTTTAACCATAGGCCATAAATTAAAATATTTGTTTTGAGCATTAGTAATGATGGTGGGGAGGCGAAGCCTGGCAACTAGGCCACCTTTGACTCCATAGTACTAACACTATACCACTCCACAACCCATCCACTGAGTGAACTAGTGATGCAATGCATCTATGTTCTATGTTGATTTTACACCAATCTGGTGCATAATATAGACAACACACTACTAAACACCAGAGAGCCTGAAGGCCGCCAACTACTAGCTTGACATCCTAACCACTTGGCTACCCAGGCCCCAAGATTGAGCATTGATTTAAATATTCTGAAGATAGCTAACCTAATACTATATTGGCTTGTCAAAAAAATTATCTGAGATGCAATAAGATACCATAGCATTATCTTTTCAAAATTGTCAGCTGTGTTTCTCCTCTCAGCACTGATTAGAAATCTACATTGAAAAGGTTAGTGTCTCTTATATGGCATTGTAGCCAGCTATATTAGCATATTGTTTATATTTGGCTACAGCACCATCTATGCGAGTCTAACTCCTCTAACGCCGATTTTTCATCAGTGCAGAGAGGAGAAACATAGCTGTGACTAATTGTGCTAGGTGCTCTTCTCAATTAAGATTGGGATTTTTTGACGCGAAAATATAGTATTGGGTTGGCTATCTTCAGGTAGAATATAATAATGGTTTGAGGCATTGATTCATTCAATTAAGAATTGCTTCCTCTTCAGCTGTGTACCTAATTTTAAACCTTATATTATTCCAAATTTAAGACTTGCGTGAAGAAAAGAGACAGCAATACCCAATCAGATGAACCTGTCAGAAAGAGACCAAGAACAGAGTACAGCAGAATAGACTAAGCTCCCTCAAAACTTCCACTATCTCTGTTAATTGTCAGGCACTTGTACAACTTACTCAATCACAAATTGCACAAGAATACTAAATTACATATAACTCTCTAAGAACATAGAAAAAATTTTAATGACATCTGTTTAGAATAGATCATGTTACAGGATACAAAAACAGTTCAATTTAAGTTAAGCAATTTTACAAGGTCAGTTGTAAAATGGTCAAACCTGTTGAACAATATACTCATTAACAAATTTTTTGGCTGCATCTGTAGTTTTCATATGAAAAAACAACATTTTAAAGGTAAGTTGACACTGATATCAATTCAGCCATTGTGTTTTCTTTTTTGCATCTCCTGTACAATGGTCCAAACCTATGGAGGTAGTAATGCCTGCATTTTTTATATTGCCATTTTAACTCAAGTTTAACAATGTCAAGTTTTTGTAAATATCAGCATTAAAAATAACTAAAATTTGTGGTTGCATAGGTCATACAAGTATTCATCAAAAATGGTTTATGTTATAAAATTTGGATTTTGGTATCAATCCTTTGCTGTTGCATTTCAGATGTACTTTAGGTATTTCCCTATATGTTTATTTGTATTTGGTTGTTTTGTGTAATGGTTTAGTATGTTAAAACGGTTTGGTAAAGTAAATGGCTTTGACAAATATTTGTGAAAAATCACCTTACTGGTACATTCACAAAAATAATAAGAAATATAAGATAAAATGAGTCTTCCCATTAAAATAAGTGCAAGTGACTATATAAAAATTAACACACTTTGATTTGTTTTTCAAGATTTGAATAATCAACATTCAGAAGCTCAAATTTCTACAGGTGTAATCAATACGATTATTTCAAAAGACTAATTTATTTTCTCAAAGTCCATATATTTTGCCAAAATGTGTCAAAACATTACTAAGTATGAATGATTTGTTATGTATTATCGAGTTTATTTAAGGACTTTGTAAGTATAGTTACTTCATTGCTGTCATATGAAATCAATAAATGATACACTAGGTATATTATAATCTCATGTTTCTATGTTACAATCCTTAAGGTGATTTCAGACTTTCAGTAGCATAAAAGAAGACGAGTTTATGATAATTTCATTTAATTGTTACATTTATACTAAAAGCATTTCTGTAAAAAAAAATATTTAAAATGTATACCAGTCCTCCAAACCAGATATGAGTGCCAAAACATTGTGCAGTTGTCCACCTCACCACTCACCATGCATTGCCAAGCTGCCGCTTTTTTTAGCACATTTTAGTGTCAAAAATCCTAAATATGTGGATGTACGAGGGGGTACCCAAAAAAAAACGAATTATTTTTTAAAAGCTAAATAAATATTTTACACTTTTTCACAAAGTAACCTTATCTCCTTCAAAGTACTGTCCACTACAACTAATACACTTGTCTCATCGGTGCTTCCACTGATTGAAACATTTTTTGAAGTCTTCCTTAGAAATGTCTGACAGCTCCTCCGCGGCGTCCTTTCATGTCCTTTTTCATCCGTGGAAATAAGAAAAAGTCGCACGGAGCCAGGTCAGGTGAATAAGGGCGTGAGGCAGCGGAACCAGAAACTGTCGAACAGTTTGGCTGTGTGCACAGGTACATTATCGTGGTGGAAGAACCAGCCTCCTGACTGCCATAAATCGGGTCTTTTTTGCCGAACACTGTTTCGCATTCGTCTTAAAATCTCCAAATAAATGGTCTGACTGACAGTGTGACCTAGGGGTCAAACTCGGAATGGACTACGCCTTTGACATCAAAAAAACAAATCAGCATTGTTTTGATATTTGACTTGACGGGGTGACGATGGCGTCTTCCATTTACTTGACTGTTGCTCCGTTTCTGGGTCATAACCGTAGCACCAAGACTCATCACCAGTGATGATATTTGACAGACAATTTGAATCAGATTCAAGCTATTGTTTCAAAGCACGACATGTTTCAACTCGGTGTTCTTTTTGATTGTAAGTCAGAGCCCGAGGAACAAACTTGACAGCAACCCTTTTCATTCCCAAATCTGTTAAAATTCGCTGATCGAACTCCAGGACAGCCTACTACTTACGGATAGTTGATCGATTGTCGATTTTTTCAACATTTTCGTCGATTCGGGCAGTTGATGGACGTCCAAAGCGATGTTTGTCATCAATCGACATGTCGCCATTTTTTAATCGAGCAAACCACTCGTACACCTGAGTTTTCCCGTAGCATCATCTTTGTAAGCTATCTTCAACATTAAAACAGTTTCAGAAGCATTTTTACTAATTAGAAAGCAAAATTTCACAAGTGCACGTTGCTCACTGAAGCTTGCAAACGTAAAAAACGAAAGCACGAAACAGCTCTAGCAAAAGTAATGAGTACAGGTGAACGAAACAAGCCATATCGACAACTCAGGTGGCACCAAACTGGTATTGAGTTGCGCTGAACGCCTCTAGGGGCAGAAATGTGTTCTACACAAGCTCCGCCCACTGCAATGCTATTCCTGTTATTTTTGGGTACCTCCTCGTGTATGACCTACATAGTGAAGTTTTAAATATTGCACTCGAGGTACTGGTGAAGCCATTGACCTTTTTGTGTTTTCCTAAAGATATATTTCTGGATGCATAAAAGTTATAAAGTTCACAAAAAAGGCTATATTTCATGTATAGATAATCATGAAAATACATCAATAATTTCTATAAATGCCTATGCCAGCCATTGGGCCAAAACTGTGGTTTCGTCTAAAGCTTTGTAAAGGGTAAACTTACTTCTTTGACGCTTTTTCGTCTTTCAAAAACCTTTAATAGTGTGGGTCGCATAGAATACTGCTAGAAAAGTTAGAATTTCGCGGATGGCGAGGAATGAAATTCTAGATCGACAGAATATGGTGTTCTGCAAGATTCGTTTTTGGTGTCTTCACTATCTGCAATATTGATAAAATCCGTAAAAAGTGTAGGTTGGCTCTTGTTGGGGACTTCGTGTGTCATTTTTTCCCTTTCCATCTTTGTTTCCTCAGGTTACACTCGTATCCTGATGTATGGGCTTGTGTATCCACTTTTGTGGTTGCATATGCGCATTCATTTCGGGCCTGATGAAGCCAGCAAGCAGAAATACGTATTGCCCGGGTTACCTATCCTATTTTCTGCTCGAATTCACTTTCCTTTTTTGCGGATTATGCCCATGATGCTAGTAGTCATTGCCATTGCCAACGACCAGTTGTGCAAGAAATACAATTAATTGGTAATTGGGAAATTGCCAAACATTTTTTAGGCTTTAGAAATACACTTTTAACGGAATCGCGAGCTTTCGGCTTCTCTTTGAAGCCATCTTTAGGAGCTGAAAACACAAATATGAAGCTAGCAATCAATACGGGAAGGGTTTAAATTATCAGACAACTTACTCGTCGCTGAGGTTGCAGCCAAATGGTGTTTCAAAACGAAAGCGTGGATGAGAGCACTTGTTACAAATATAAAACCAAAAGGACGGACACATTGGGTTTATTGATATATATATATATATACACACGGGGTGTTCCTTAATGATATGCGAATATTCAAGGGTGTGAATCTATATGATAAATTAATGTTAGTTTGCTTTATAAACTATGGTCCAAAAATGTTTCCTTACAAAAACTCGGGGTGTTAAAGTTTTAGGAAAAAAATGGAAATTAATATTTTCAGAACCGCTTCAGATATTTCACAGATATTTAGTACGTAGTGAAAGTTAATGAAGATGCATATTTTTCAATGCAAAAATAATTTTTAGCTTTAACAGTGGCGTGCGTACAAGTATTGACTTCAATATTTTTTAATTCTCCGTTCAGTTTAAAACAAATGATCTTTCTTGAATTGTTTTCCTTCGATGCGCCATTTTTGAGTAAAAAAATAAAAATCGTTCTATTGTCCGAGAAAATTAATGTAATAATATTGAAGAATGATTTTAGCAATACCTACATATCTAGTTGCTCTGGAATATGTCACTGGCTTTTGACATCTGACAAGTCTCTATTATTCAAATCTGTTCGCTGTGACATCTTTTTCATTATTTAGTTTTTACAATCTTGTTAATAATTACGTATATGGCCTTACAGACGGTAATGGTGAGCAAGTCAGACAGATTTATCACCAGAGATATCCCGATCGTGCTTTGCCAGATAGTCGAACCTTTTCTATCAGGTGACCAAATAAGTTCGTGCGGTATATCGCACATTGCCGTGGATATGGTTGATCGATAGCGATTGTTTGTTACCTGTTGTCACTTTAGTATGAATCCTTCTTTTCTCACACACATAAAAAGTTGCTGAAAATTGTTACATACCTAGTTTTAATAATTGAAGTTCTACAATACCAGCATACAAAATTTGGTTCCACGTTGGCAACAGGTGATTGAATGTGATGGTAATTACTTCGACGAATAAATAGTGTCGTGATTGTTCCTCAATAAAAATCTATATTTTTCTGCTAAAAACCGCACGAACTTATTTGGTTACCTGATAATGTTAATCGTCGTCTTGTTGAAACTGGTTCTGTCCGAAAAAGAACATCTGAAGAACATCCCGAAACGAGTACGAGGAAGATTGCTAGACACTTAAGTATTTGCCATCAAATTGTTTGGAGACTTTTAGTGGATTTTTTGCTATATCCTTACCATATTTTAAGAGTACAGGCATTACTTCCCATTGATTTGCTAAGGCGTGTGACCGTTTCTGGTATAAATATCTTCAAAAAATTACACAAAATCCGCAATTTGAATCAATGATTCTGTTCACAGACGAAGCTAATTTTTCTCGAAATGCCATTCAGAATTTCCACAATAATCATTTGTGGGCAGAAGAAAACCCATATGCCGTAACCGAAACCCATTTCCAATACCAATTTTCGGTTAACGTATGGGCAGGAATTATTGGCAACCACTTTATTGGCCCATTCTTCTTGACGGGCAGACTTACATCAATTTTCTTCAACGTGAGTAATAAGAAACATGTGGTACATGCATGATGGTGCACCAGCGCATTTCAGTGTAACGGTTCGTAATGGTTTACAAACTGTTTATCCAAATCGTTGGGTTGGCCGCGGTGGGCCCCAAGAATGGCCACCAAGTCCCCAGACCTCAACAGATTAGATTTATTTTTGTGGGGCTATCTTTAGACACTAGTGTATACAAGTCCCATTAACACTGTAGAGGAATTAAGAGAAAGAATAGTAGCACCTTGTGATAGAATAAAAAACACTCCAGGGATATTTCAACGAGTGCGCAATTCCATGAGAAGGAGGGCGGAAGCATGGATACGAAGTGAAGCGGGCCATTTTCAACAATTTTTGTAATCATTTCGTTGGTTTTAATGTTATGTTTATGTTGTCAGTTGTTGTTGTTCATTACCCCTAATGTGTTTAATTTTTCCAATTAAATTAATAATAATGTTGCGAGATAGACAATAGAACGGTTTTTATTTTTTTACTCAAAAATGGCTCATCGAAGGAAAACAATTCAAGAGAGATCATTTGTTTTAAATTGATCGGGGAATTCAAAAATAATTTTTATTTGGCAAAAAACCATTGGCGTACCATTTTTTTCTTAAAGAATATCGAAGTCAATACCCGTACGCACGCCACTGTTAAAGCTAAAAATTATTTTTGCATTGAAAAATATGCTACTTTGTTAACTTTCACTACGTACTAAATATCAGTGAAATATCTGAAGCCGTTCTGAAAATATTAATTAATTTCCATTTTTTTCTAAAACTTCAACACCCCGAGTTTTTGTAAGGAAACATTTTTGGACCATAGTTTGTAAAGCAAACTAACATTAATTTTTCATGTAGATCCACACCCTTAAATATTCGCATATATGCCACAGATAAATGTTCATACAAGGTGGCTTTTCAAGACAGTGAATAAAAATGTCAAAGTTACACTGCATTTAAAACCCACAAGCCAAAAATATACCTTCACAACCTGGTTCGAAAAATATATAAAATCCCAAGAAATCGAGATCAGCACTACCATTTTGGGCACGTTTTTTTCTAAATCTGTTATTACAGCAAAACGTGTTATGTGATAGTGATCTGTAAATGAGTAAGCTTACAGTCGACTTCTATGCCTATATTTTTGACTACATTCAGTCTAGGCAGTTCACTGCCCGTGATCATGTGTGTATACTCAATAGTGTTCTTATTACGAGGGAAAACGAGCATTTATTAGAATTCAATTCCAAATTATTCAACTGACATCATTGTACTAAAATTTTTATTATCTTCCTGAATCATCTCACAGTCCTGACTATAGATTTAACGCATATTTGAAATCAACAGCATAAAGTAAATAATTTGATTTGATTAGGTGGCCATCAATATCTTTAACAAAAACAAGTTGGCCTGGGGCCAAAATCAGATCCTTAAGGTACGCTTACTTCGACAGAGTCGACGACATGTGTCGGTCAAAACCATTACTTGAAGACTATGGTTTTGATCTAGATTTCTAGATCGTCAAAAGCCTTAATCTGCGTACAAGTGTACAGTTAACAAGATGTACCTCATAACCCTTATTCAAAGCATTACTAATAAAATCAGTGTAAGAAAACATATTTGTCATTGGATCTTCCCTTAATAAAGCCATGCTGCTTAGTAACTATATTTTTAAAACAATATTGAAAAACAGTCGTCACCATGTTCTCAAACACCTTTGAAATAGCAGTCTGCTTGCACACAGGTCGATAATTTTCCACGCTACAATTACCCCCACGTTTATATATTGGAGTAACAAAAAAAACAAATGTTTTCACCTTCCAGGGAAAACACCTTGTTCAAGTGATTTAGTAGATACCGGGTGTCCAGAAATTAAAGGGTAATCCTGCGCCTGCGGTTAGGTTACGTCATGACCTACTGTATTGCAAAATTTTGTTTCATCATATTTTTCGAGGTTTTCAGCATATAATTTTTTGTGCCTGGGCCAGGTTTGTTTTAGAACACTAAAATGTTTATACTTCGATATATTCTATTCATATCTGATTTATGTTATGACCTAGAGATAAGCATCACAGAGGGGCTAAAGTCTAAAGAGCACTGCGTACCTCCATTAAAAATCTTGGGGATACTGCCCTTGCCATGGATGTAGTTCATACTTTAGACCAGGGCTGTCCAACTTAATGTGGCCCAAGGGCCACTTCAAAAAAAAATGCAGTTTGGAGGGCCGCATTATAAAATCTTTCTATACAACATTATTACATAGTTTTAATAGGTATATGCATATTCGGTATTTGAGAGTAATTTGAAGCGGGCCGCAAGAAAGGAGTTCGCGGGCCGTATGTTGGACAGCCCTGCTTTAGACCATACTGTATTCAGACAAAAAATAGGATGCAAGCTGGAGCCGTAAGGCTGCCAAAATATAAACATATATGAACGAAATTGGCTAAGTTGTATAACAAGCTACCTCAGACCATCCGGGAGTTGAGCTGTATAGGTTTCAAAAAGCAAAGTGCCTCCTCCTCAAGCAATCCTCGCTTTCTATATTAAATGCTGTTGACGTTTTAGTCTAATTGTAGCGTTTTTCTGGTTTCTTTGAATGTGGATTAAAACACTGGATTCCACAAAAAGAAAAGCACTAATTTATTTATCTTGACTAGATAGAACATTTATGTACACCACTATTTATGTCTGATTAATTCTAATGTCGCACCATTGACTACTGGACTATACTCCACTCCGCTCTGCTACTCTACCGTACTCTGCTTCCATCTCCCGGCCGTCGAGTTATATCTAGCTGCTTCGAGAAAGGTCTGGCGGTCGTGGTCCGCGTAAAAGCAGATCGGCCATGAAGCTCTGGCGAGTAGGAGAGTCGAGAGTCTCCCAACAGATGGCTCCAACTGTACTATTTATTCTCGTCACATAATATTCTAAAAATTCATGTACTATTTCCAATGACTTGTCACACATATTTTATATGATAGGGCCGAATAACAAAGGGCATAAAAAAGCCAGCCAAAATTTGTATTTCAGATGTCTTAATTACTATTTTCTATCCACTCCCAATACTGACTTCTGATTCGTGTTCATTGATAAAAATACATGGGCAAAATATACCGGGAGCTCCAGTTTTTATTTTTGTGTAGATCTGTATTCTGATTTTTGTTTTTTTATGGGTTTCCTGTAAAATGTATCCATTGTTACCTCCAATTCTGACTTCAGATTCGTGTCCAGTAGGACAAAGTGCAGGAGAAAATGCACTAGGACAACCAGCACACATCACTTTTCTGTTTTGTGGATCTGTATCATCTATATCTAAAATGAACAAGCTTAATTGATATCTGCTTTATTAAATAATATTAACATACAGTATAGGTATATGCAGTTACATTTTAACTGCATTTGTCAAATATAATTGCGCTAGTTATAGTAACTGACATAATTTCTTATGAAAAAAATCACATGAGATTATTATATAGGTAAAATAACGTTTTAAATTACAACTTCTTTCTAGTTTCAAATCTTTGCAAGTAATTGTTTATATCCTAATAATGATCAGCTAAGTATTAGATGGTGTCCCAGGTGATCCCACAACATCAATGATCTCTCCAGAAGCCACTTTTATTTCTGATTCAGAATTTCCTGACAGCAATTGTGGCGGAATTGTGAGAGTCTAGAAAAAAAATATAATAGATGAGCTTCTTCTGAGCACAGTTCAAACTGCATCACATATTCACTGTTATATATTGAAGCTTATTTACCTTTCCTGGATTTAGAGCTTCATACTGATGTCTCAATGACTGCAGTTCAAACTCACAAGTTGAAAGAGCTGCCTTTATTTCCATCAGTAGTACTATATCACTTCTCAGTTCATTGAAATGCAGACATACCTCTTCTGTTGGTGTTGGATTCAGTTCTATAGGAAAAAAAATCTCATTATGAATTCGGCACGCTAGAATAATTATTTGGATCAATTTAAATAAGTTTTTATACCTAGCCCAAGTTCTTGCAAAATCTGTTCAATTCCCTTTGATTTCTTTTGGCCCAAATTTGTTGGCAACTTCATCCTTTGCGATCTAAGTGAAACGCCACTGTTTTTATAGTCAGGGAATTTTATACCAGCAGTTTCAATAACCTGTAATATGTGCTGAAAAAAAACTTATAAAACACTCAAAATATAGAATCAATACCACAAATTATATATTCTATACTTACATTGGTGTCTACCCTAGATGGTCGAGACGGATTTGCAATTTTCTTTTTGGGTAGCTTTTTATCAATCTTTCTAGGAGTTTCATTCTGATTATCAGCTTGACTGATCAATTTTTGTAAATCTTGTGTTTTTCTCTCCCTCTCCTTTTTCCGCGCCTCTATCTTTTTCAATTCTCCTAGTAAGAATTGCTCCTCTTCAATCTAAAGAATAAATTAACATAATTAAGAAACCATTTTAAGACAATGGTTGTTAGAATAATACCTGCTCAGGTTTTCTCTCTTGGAGCTTTTTCAACTGCTCTTTCCGTCTTCTCTCATGTTCTGCATCATATGTGTATATTTTCTTTTCACCACTCAACTGAAAATTGATATACATTTTCAAGCTTATTCTTCCAAATTCTGTGCATATTAAACATACCTTAGCAAGTATACCACAAATTTTATAAAATCTATCTTTCAAATCTTCTACAGATCTTTTTGAATACTTCTCTGTATCATATCTGTCAGCCATGATGATAAAACGTAAGTCAAACCTTTGAGCCAAATCAATAAGATGGTCTGTCTCCTCTTTTGTCCACCCATCACACTTTAAATGCTGTTGATATTCTACATCAGTATATGATGGCAAATCCACTTTCTGCAAATAAAATAGGCTATACAAACTCAGTACTCCTATTTATTGGAGTAAATCTATTTGAAATTTCAGATTTCTTTACACCGAAGCAGCCGCGCAGGCAGAAGCCTAAATGCCTGGGCACTTACTTGACAATGGCATGCAAGTCGAGTTGTCCTGTTATCAATCTTCAATATAAAATTGTACAATGCTCAGAAGTATGCTCAATGGAGAAGGCCGACAGCTAGTGCTAAACTTATTAGACTGTTGACAACGTAACCGTGAAGAACAGTGACTACAACTATATCTCTGTTTGTAATTGCACGAGCATTATTAACTATTATAAAATGTCAGAAGTGTCAAAAAATATGAGGACAAAGACAGAATAACAGAAATGTCTATGTTTTGCAGTTGTCTGGTATGTGTAAAAGTGGTGAAACAGTACCAAGCAAGATTTGTGTAAGTTCAAATTCACTAGCACTTTTTATGTGTTATCTTTTTTAAACTTGGGCAGAAGAGTATTTCCAGGAAGAGGAAACAGCAGCCCCCTGTTACCCACTTCATGCATACTATTTATATATTTCATATGGCATCTATGACATAACTGCCAAGAACAGCAACTACAACCATACTCCGATTTATGGACTGCCCAAGGTTAGTAGAACTGGGAAAAGCATCTTTATGCAGATTGTTCCACAATCTCAATACGCTAGGGTCAAAGAAGCGGCTGAAGTAATATGGAACTGTCTGGCATAATCATTGCGCAGCAGCATCATGGATGAAAGCTCTGAGGAACAAATTGGCGTAGCGGTAGAAAAGAGCTGTCACTTGTAGTAAAAAGTTAAACATGTTTTATGCAAAACTTGGGTTTGGACATTTATTTACGGTAGGGATATTTGCAGTCTACGACATATATTTTTCATTTAATGTGTGCATTATACAGTACAAAATATTTATGGAACTGTATCAATGAGAGCAATCGCAAAAGATAGCTGAAATTCTAATAATTCTTCATGTTAACTAAAAGATCCCATTGTAAAATAATGTTTTCAAAAGCTTAATTATCTAACAGCAGGCAGCACTGTTTCATGCTCATTAGCAACTCATCAGTGTAGCCTTGGAGATAGACAGTCAGGAAGCAAACATGAATGAATAAGAAAATTGTTGATACTTAAATTTTTGCAATTTTTAAAATGATCAGTATGTAAAAGAAAAACAACAAATTTGGGGTTTAAAGAAATTTTAACAGCCTCCAAAGATTTTTTGACTATGCCTGAAATTCACTAAAAGATTAAGGGTGAACAATCTAAAATGTATAAACTGTTGAATTACCTTATTGAATTTAGCGAAAGGATATTCTTTGGGTTCATCTGATGGCCTTCGCCAATGGTAAAAGGTTGCATTATCTGTCCTAGCAGGATTGGTAAAAGGTATCCAAGCCCATTTTCTCGGTTTTCTCATCCCCAACTTGATCTTTGTTTGTTTATATCCATTGTTCCTAACTAAAATGCACAACTATCATCAAATAATGACTCTTTACTGGAATAAACAACCTACTTGAATCTGTTGGAAAAAGTGGTGGAGCATCTTTTGTATCATTATAGAGGAGGGCATAAACCTCCCTATGCATTCCTTCAGGCCGCTTAGGTACCTTTGGACCTGTAGAAATGCGTTTCTTCACTTTGTCAGCCCCCAAGATACTTTCCCTAGTGATTTCAGGAGTTGGGGGCCTCTCCAACTCCATAATATCCCGGACGTCAGCCATCCTTTTACTGAGCTCAAGACACTTCTTTATAGTAAACTTTGTGAATTAACTCAGGAGTTCTTCTATTTATTTATTTAAAGTTTTCTGGTGCATCTTGACAATTAGACACGGAACGCCATAACAACAGCGTAGACAGAACGGACAGAACGACAGAAGAGTAGTGATGAGCTCAAGATACACTAGGTATGTTTTCTAATCTTCAAGTTCCAGTTATGTTTTATTTTTTTCAGTTCCTAATACGATTCGAATGCGTGAAGGGCGAAATGACATTTTTTTTTATTTTTTACGACAGGTTCTTATTACCAATTTAAATTCTTACTTGGGAAGTATGAGAGAATCTTGCCGCAATCCTAGAGAATTAAATAATGTCCCTATTATGTTACTTGAGCCATATGCATTTTGTACGGAGTTGTGAAGTATAACAATGTAAGTACAAAAAGCTGTAATACCTATGTTTTTAAATACTGTAAGGCAATCTCCACATCAAAACTGTTTCTTTTTTAAGGTGATCCAAGTCCTTAGCCAGGCTTCTGGCAGATCCTGAGGAAGAGCAGACATGCAGAGGTTACTCATTTTAGGAATGTAATTTTTGATGATCGTACCTGTTTGTATCTCCACATCACTCTTTGAATAGTGGAGTGCTATGAAAAGTTCAACAGCTGCCATTGTCAACCCCTAAGGTCCTGAGAATTATCAGAAGCTCAGAGATTACTTCTGATCTAACCAAAAGGCTCTGCTCTGAAGGATATTTGCAGAACATAACATTTGTAAGTTTTTATATGACTCAATAACTAGTGATGATTTGTACTGCTTTTTGTCCAAGTTAGTTTTCATACTTCGTTTTAAATCAGCTATAGTAGAGCAAGTATTGTTATTGAGCAATAACATGGGTGCCCACAGGGGGGCTGTGGTAACAGTTATCTCTTGATGATGATCAGCACATCTGAGGAAAAAAAAATCCTGTGGGTACCTGTGGACAATCATATTATCGTTCTAATAAAAAAAATCTGTGAATTGTAGTGACATATCAACAAAATTCAATTTTCTTCTAATTTTTGATTTATGCAGGTGCCAATGGAGGCTGGGGAATGCAAACATCTGGACCATAATGATGTTAATACTGATTTGTTTGTAGAAAAATGTATAAGATTTATATAACAAATATATATTTAGGTTTTTGCAGTATATGTTTTTCTGAACCTTTCCAGATTAGTAAGTAGATATGAGTGATCTTATAACAGCTTGTTATTGACGTTGCTATTGTACATACAAGAAAAAGCATTTATTCATCAAGAGCGCAAAATGTTAATAACGCATGCTGTTATAAGATCCCATATCCCACCAAATTTCTATATATACAGGGTGACGTCGAAGTTGAGTCATTTATTTTAACAGTGAGTAGATCTGATCAAAAGAAATGTTTTTTCCTTTACCATTTTTGTGGTAAAATTAAAGTAACAAAGTTATAGCCCTTTGGAAGTTTGAGTACCGCCCTGTCTCAATAATAATATTATGTGCTCGTGTTTGGCGAGAACGGATATAATCCGCCTTATCGGTTCATCGCATCGGAAACAAAAAAGCGAAAGAATTTGGAAATGTTTTTACAATTATTTTATCCATTTGTATACAGTCAGTGTCAGTCGGTATCGCGTGAGTGAATAGTTGTGTCTGTTGCGTGGCTCAAACGAAATAAAAAATGGCACATGTTTATGCGGATGGGTTTCCCAATCGAGTGCAACCAACCCCTCGTACCTTTGTTAATGTAGTACAACGGGCTCGTGAATCAGGTGACGGCATGCCGGTGCTCCAAGACCTCACGATCAAATACAGGTCCGGACTGAAATACTTGTCGGGAAGATACTTTATAAAACAAGGTAAAATTTTTTTTTAATTTTTTTTTTATTTTTACACACATATTTTGGTTTATCTTCCTTCTACAATCATCTGAAAATTAATGACTCAACTTCAAAGTCACCCTGTATATAAAAGTATAGCAATCTTAGATTTATATGTAGAGCTGGCAACGTTGCGGGGTATGCGGGGTAACCATGCCGCACTATCAAAAAATGGCCGCTGACAACCATACAAGTCACCGTGTTGCCATTGATTAGCATGGAATTAAACCTTCTTCAGTGTATATGTTTTGTGTTTATAAAGCTACCCACCTCGAGCGTTTTACTGAAATCTCTTGTGTTTTGTGTATCTACTGGAGCACAAAACACATAAGACTGGAGAACACAAGACCTACACCCTATTTCACGAGTATTCATCACGGTAGAATGACAGCTGATTATCTAGTAATATCTCAAAATTCCCCATGTCAGCACAGGTCACATAATTCTTACGGATCCGTCAACATCAGGTAAACAGAGCTGTATTTTGCTTGTTTTTTGTACGCTACTGATTCATTTTGTACTTGCTAACAGTTTTTTATTTAGAAAAGTTCGTCTGCATATAAAAAAAAACCACAAACATTTTTTACTAGATTTACACCCGATTCGTTATTGCCAACGCTGCAGACCAACACAAAAATGTCACTTTCTGATCAGCCGTTCACCTCAGTAGACGTCAAAGCGTCAAGTCATCGTTGGTTGTCAGAGCGGTCCGTGGGACCTTAGCTCTTGAGTCACAGTGTCAGTTTGTAAGTCTGTCAGGTCTGGTAACCCAGAAACCAGACAATTTTAATGTCAAAGCGTGATGGATACTGAAATCGGGTATTTTGTATACGTTTTCATGTTCTGAGATTTGTAACCTATAAATCAGTCCTCATCTTATGTTAATTTATAACAACAAAATGAATTCATCCTCAACTTCAGATGGGAGTGATCACGAATTTGCTCTTAACAGAGATCAAGATGAAGAAATTACCGAAGAAGTTAGACGGAATATACGGAGTAAAATTTCTACCCTTAGTTTTGAAGACTTATTGAAGATGAAAGAAGAAATGGGGGCCAAGCTGTATAATGAAACTGTACTTGGAGTAAAAAAAAAGAAGATAAAGACTGATTACAAACGAGCTAATAAAAACAGACCTAGGGAATTAAGCTCAAAAATAAGGCCAAAGCAACTAAATAGGGTTTTGAATCAGAGCAGTGCACCTATGATTGAACAGAATAAACCCAGAGATCCTAGGTTTGACCCACTATGTGGGCAGTTTGATGCCAGAACTTTTAAATCAGATTATAAGTTTGTCCATGATATTCGTCTAGAAGAAAAGAAGCAATTGGAAAAAGAACTGAAGAGTTGTACTGATCCATCTAGACAGCAAATTATCAAAAAACTTATACAGCGAATTGTATGTTTGATAATAGATTCACTTGTATAACAACATAATTATGGTATTTTCTATTTACAGAATAATCAGGTAAGAGAACAAGACAAGAAGGATAAAGAAGAGCGTAAAGAATATCAGGAAAAGAAAGAGGTTAAAGAGAAACTCAAAAAAGGAGAAAAACCAGTGTATAAGAAGAAATGTAAGTTGAGATTTTCATGTTTAATCCATAAATGATGATGCATCCCAAATTATAAAATTCAACAACCTAAGTAGATTAAGGTGCCTGCAATTAAAAATTTAAAGATAATACAAATGAGTCATTGTGGACACAGTTTTGTGTAACCAAACCAATTAATAAGCAAAAGGCAAGAACATGATGCAGGAGTATTCAAATTTTCTACCAATATGTCTTTGATAAGCAAAACATGGGTAACTTGAATATCCTGACAAAAAGTTTACAAATTCAGACCTTCCTCCATGTTAATCATTATGTTTGTCATGAAAAATATTGTATAGGCACTGGAAATGAATAGCTTTTAACAGAATGAATGCCATGGTGGTCACATACAACTGCCTACAAATAACCCCACCATGCCATGGTGGTCCTATGTGACCACTCCACACTGGCCTTCAAAATTCATTTATGCTGTGCCAGCGGTTGTTCATAGGCACATAATTATTATGACAGAAGACAGCTGTGGCATACATGCCTAGCTTAAGTTAGTGGTTTTCAGTGTAGCTTACAAGGGAAAGTGAAAATAATAATTTCTTAGAATAGCATCTGTTGCAAAAAGCTTCCCTTTTTTCAAGTTGGCACCAGAGACATTTACTATGATTTTTTATGGCAGTCAACCTGTTAATGCCAGATTGAGTTAATCCTATCTGTTTATTATATATAAAACAATGCTAACTGTATTTTTCCTTTTCAGCTGTGAAAAAGTTGGAGAACCTTATAGAGAAGTACAATGAGTTGAAGAAATCTAACAAACTACAAAAACATATTGAGAAACGGAGCAAGAAACTTTCTATTAAGGAAAAAAGGAAAATGAAAAGCCATGATGTACATAATTAAAAGAAAAGTATTTATGATTTGTATTTTTTATTAATAAAATTTTAATAAATAAAAAACTACTGTAGCATATCTATTATTGTTCAACCTGTTCTCAACATTTTTGCTTCTCGCTTTTCCTGAAGAGCCTTTTTCTGTTCATCGACTATACTTTCTCTCTCTTTCAAAAATTCTGCATACTCCTTGGCATCTAAGTCATTCACTACCTGTATGCCACAAGACCTTGCAACCCCAACTACCATCTTGCAAAGTTCTTCTAGAGATTTTATTTGCAGTGGTGGATCCTCTTGTTTTATTTTTGCTATTTCATATACATGCCTGAGGGTTACTTTTCCAGATATTTCTCTGCCTAAAAAATTTGAATTGAAGATTTTCTAGAAGTATAAAAAACTTAGTGGATTCAAAAACCTATGACTTGTCAGTAACTTCATATAGATATCGAATAATATGGAGTTAGCAAAAGAAAGGTAAGGATAATCTTGAATATCATGTAGATTTTTTAATTATCTTATGGCACTTTTAATTAGTCAATATATGTGTATTAGCTGCAATAGAGTATCCAGCAACTTACAGAAATATTTTTATCACAGCCCACCTATATTGTTACACATTTTGATATTTCTCAACTATTTTCATATATTGCTGAGAGGTTGCCTGATTTTGCAGCCCTTCCGAGTGTTTGTATCTACACATTGTGGACAAGATATAGCTGGACCATATGGTCAGGATAACTGTGTGATAGTTGAATTAGTTATAGCCTAATATTGCTCATTTACATGCTCCATTGTGATGAATATTATCATAATAAATAGTTTATGCTGAATTTATAATACCAATGAAAGAAAAGGAGTCTATTGTAAAGGCTAAAGCTATTTAAGTGCCACAGACCAGCAGAAATTTGTACTTTGCAACTACTATTAATTTTAAAATAAGCCTCCAAATTTTGCATTGTCATAAGTCAGGCCCTCATTTTTCTATAGTTTCTTATAGGATCATTGAAGATTTTGACCTTAATATACAGCTCTGTAGAACAATAATTATCCAAATATATTCAAAGTAAAGGAAATAACATTATAATAAAATGTATTACTGTCCTCAGTATGTAGATTGTTCTTAAAAGTAACCATACCAGGTTCCATAGCAGCTCTCTGAATTCCAGCAGCCTGCTTTAAAAAATATACCACAGGAGGTTTGTGTACGACAATCTCATAACTTCTATCAGGATTCACAGTTACTCTTGTTGGTAAGGGTATGCCTTCTTTTATGTCTTTGGTTCTTTCATTGAAGTCCTTGCAAAATACCGCTATGTTGATTCCTCTCTACAAATGGTATCAATAATACACTAATTAAAAATACCTAATATGACCTCACCTGTCCAAGCATTGGACCCAGAGGAGGTCCTGCAGCAGCCATTCCGGCTGGAATATTAGTTTTAAGTTTACCATGCTGTATTTTCTCCGCGGTTTTCTTCAGGTTTTTTAGTCTAGCGGCAGCTTTAGACATTTTATGGAGACTCGTTCTAAAATCCTAGAAAAACCGTGCTGCATAAAAAAATTAGACGTAACCTCAAAATCAAAATGTCAAATATACCCATTTCACGAGTATCCATCATAGTAGCTGACAGGTGATTATCTAGTGATATCTCAAAGTTCCCCATATCGGCACAGGACGCATAATTATGACGGATCCTTCAACGCCAGGTAGACAGAGCCGAATTTTGTTTTGGTTTTTTGCATACCACAGTTTTGATTTAGTACTTGCTAACAGCTCTTTTCTTTAGAAAAGGTCATTTGCATAAAAAAAACAAAACGCTACAAACAAGCTTTACTAGATTTACACCTGATTCATTATAGCTAACGTCGCAGACAAAAACTGCTCCCATACGATGTGGCGAATGCCTTACAACGTTCGACACATGGCCATCGTGTGGAAGAGCGCGGACGGATTGCATATTGCATGTGTACAACGTTCGCCACATGGCTCGTTCGGGCTCATGTCGGTAAATTTGACCCGCGTCAAAGGACGTTACAACGTTTGAAGCATGGTCCGTTACGCTCCCACACGAGATGTCATATGTTCGATGGTTTTAGGGGTTTTAGGTTATAACTAACCGGTGTTTCTTTTCGAGGTATAGAACTTTAAGTTGGCATTACTTTTGCAGATGCCACCGATTCTCAGTTTGGTTTGGCAATTCATCATGAATAAACTCACGCCTGAACAAGACTTGCAAATTGTGCAGTTTTATATCGAAAATAATGGTTCTGTGCGGAATACGTATCGCGCACTACGTCCATTTTATCGTCGACAAAATCGTCCATCAGAGCAGTTTCGTACCACGTTTACTCTAATTGATAACTCGTATCCCCAGAGATGCCATACGGTGCGTACAGAAGAAGCTATTGCTACTGTAGAGCGTAGCATTGAGGAAGACCCGAATGAGTAGGGATGGCAAATTTTATACATACTTCGAAGTTGAGTCATTTATTTTAACAGTGAGTAGATCTGATCAAAAGAAATGTTTTTTCCTTTAAATTTTTCTGGTAAAATTAAAGTAACAAAGTTATAGCCCTTTAGAAGTTTGAGTACCGCCCTGTCTCAATAATAATATTATGTGCTCGTGTTTGGCAACAACGGATATAATCCGCCTTTTCGGTTCATCGCATCGGAAACAAAAAAGCGAAAGAATTTGAAACGATGTTTTTACTACAATTATTATTCAGTTGTATTCAGTCAATGTGTCAGTCGGTAACGCATGAGTCAATAGTGGTGTTTGTTGCGTGGCTCAAACGAAATAAAAAATGGCACATGTTTACGAAAATGCTGAACTTGTGGACATGATTCTTATTCTTAATCGAGTGCAACCAACCCCTCGTGCCTTTGTTAATATAGTACAAATGGCTCCTGAATCAGGTGACTTAAGACCTCACAGGGGAGGGCATGCCGGTGCTCCAAGACCGCACGATGAAGTACAGGTCCGCACTGAAATACTTGTCGGGAAGATACTTTATAAAACAAGGTAACATTTTTTTTATTTTTTTTTATTTTTACATACATATTTTGGTTTATCTTCCTTCTACAATCATTATCTGAAAATTAATGACTCAACTTCAAAGTACCCTGTATATCGATATATCGAATCATTAGATATATCGAAACAATGTATCGATATATCCGATATATCGGATAGAAAATATCGATATTTTTGTTAGTTTATAGGTGGATTCTTTAATTCACCGGTTGATTCCACCACTGATGGATGCCCTGCTTATGGTTGACACTGTTGACAGCTTTGTATGGTGATGGCAGCAACCGGTTGAATTAAAAGGACAGATGTCTGGTCCACCGGTGGCACCGGTTGCTCAACCGGTGAATTAAAAAATACACCAAATATGTTATGTTATATACTATATACGATGTGTTCATTGAATTTTATTTGACATTGAAAACTCGGAAAAGGCTAAAAATATGAGTATTTCCCTACTTTTCATATTCAACAAAAAGCATTTTTGAATGCTAAAAATGCATTTATAAATGCAAAAAGCATTATTAAATGCCATTTTCAAATAACGTTGATTCAAGCTATCAAACAAGAACACCCCCCAGAACAAGAAATATGCACAAATCAGTCCAATTCCAATCCAATCCCACAATATTATTCCCAATCGACCTCAGAGTTTGTGTTAGAATGTTGGAGTTTAGAAAAAGAAAGAAAGGAAAAAACAGTAGTAGAGATTTTTTCGCGGGATCCCGTAGTGAACCGGAGCGGGAACAGATGGAATTTCCCCTTCCTCTCGAAGTTTTGACAGTTTCAAGTTACACCGGTAGTGGTTAGATGGCGCAATTTGCCCAAAATGTTTGTTTAAGCACCTTGATAAACTTAGCAGAATTGTTTGAATCTGAAATAAAAAGACCGATCGGTTTATGTGCAATGTACATATATATCAATAAAATCAATCATTTGATATGACAAGTGCGGTTCATATATCTTCGATGACCTCTCTCCCGTCATTTAAAATCAGGTAGACCTGTTCCTCCATTTATGATTTAATAATTTAACTCAATTTTCGGCACTGCGAAGACAAATTTTCAATTGAGATGCCTGTTTTTTAAATGAAATTGACATAAGACCTGTCACCCGCTAGTACCTCACAGACGTTAGGCGGGTACCCGTACCACGTGATTTGTTGACATTCGGACGTCGTCACATCCGTCTTCCCCTATTCCCGTTCTTCGCGAAAATTTGAGTATCGGTTCCCACGCTGTATGCGCCTTTACAACGTTGGACACATGGCCATTCGCCACATCGTCTGGGAGAGTGCTGACGGATTGCATGTGTCCAACGTGCGCCACATGGGACGTTCGGGCTCTTGTCGGTAAATTTGACCCGCGTCAAAGGACGTTACAACGTTGGAAGCCTGGTTCGTTACGCTCCCACACGAGATGTCATGTCATGTGTTTTATGGTTTTAGCTAGAACCAGTAGCGGCGAAAAACATTATTTACTTGTTTGGTGTGATTGTGGTGAAGTATTTTGATTTGAATACCTGACTATTGCTAATGATGTATGTTCCGTAACTAACTTTCGAGGAGAATGAATTAAATTAGTATACATACAAAGCATAGGCTGTCATAACAACACTTTTTTCATATTGCTAATAATTTGTACGTTTCGCAGGTGAGTTATGGCTGGCCTAAGAATATGTTGTATTTTAGTAAATTATAAATTATCAAGTGCTTACAGTTGTTTCATTATAATGTCATGTGGCAATGCAAGACTAGGTGAGAGATATATTTAGTTGCATTTCATAACTAACGAAAGCGATTAAATAAATGATAACGCTGAAAGTACTATCAGGATTTTGATGAAATTTTGACACTAGGTTACTACTGTGTGCGCCATCTATTACTTTTTTTACCTATAAGTTTATGTGTTACCATGTGAGTCAAAATACATGTGGTACCGTCATCTGGGGTAAAGGCGGACAGTAGGGGTAAAGACGGACACAAGTATGGTGTATCTGAAGTCACTTGAAATAGCATAAAAACCTTTGGTCGGCGCGTCCTTTGTAATTTCATGACGTATCATAGGCGTGCGGCATTTATTTAGAACGATAATAATAATGTTTTTATATCACAATAAATGGATTTTACTATCTTCTTATTTTTTTGATTTGGGATAAAAAATACTTATATTGGGAGTTTAATTTATGTTGACTGAAAATTAAGAAATGGAAAAATTACAGAATTCCAACGTTTGACATAGGCAAATATTTACATAGCAGGTAGGTATATAAAAAGGTATATAAAGACTTACATTATATGTATTTATATATCATCCTCGCCTTCGGAGCTGTCGCTAGAGTCATCTTGTAGAGGAATTACAACGGGATTTACAGGAGGCAAAACACAATATTCATTTTCTTTTTCAATAATATGCCTAGAACACTGCTTCCATAGGTCTGTGGCAGCAATATGAGATACTGCATCTCTTATTGTGGCCAATAGCGATTCACTTAATTGAGGGGTCTGATTATCTTTTCTTACTTTTTTTTAAAGCAGCCCAGACCAACTCAATCGGGTTAAAAATGCAGTAATAGGGAGGTAGACGTAATACTTCATGGCCATTTTGCTGAAGCAGATTGTCAACAACATACTCTTTTTCAAATTTTTGTCTTTTAATAAGATCCAATAATATGGCTTTGGTTGATTTTTGTGGTATTTCCATTCCCTTATCCTTCATAAAATCAATAATGTCTTGTTTTTTGTGCCTGTATTCGGAATTTTGTTTTTCTGTCGGGAATGGTATGGCGCATTGTCCATAATAATCACTGAATTTGGGGAAATGTTTGGTATTAACTGCTGCTCTATCCACTTTTCAAATAAGTCGGAGGTCATGTCTTCATGATAGTCGGCACATGATTCTTTGATATTTTTGGCAGATAACAGCAAGGCATTAGGTATAAATCCATTTTCACTGCCAGCATGGAGAATAATGATTCGTTTTCCACGGTTGCATGGTGCATTTAAAATGCACTTGTTGCTGTCGTCAACCCAGCCGTACTGCACAACATCATGGGTGTCATACCACGTTTCATCCAGGTAAATCAGATTTCTTTTCTGCTCTCTATAGATTTTAACTTTGTGCAAAAATTCTTGGCGCAATTCAACGATTCGAGACGACTCCATAATCACCATTCTTTTATCTATTTTTTTGTATTGAAAACCACACAGTTTTACAATACAGTGCAGTGAGTCTAAGCATTTGTAATTATAAAAATCTTCAGGATAATCTTTTAATTTATCCCGTATCATTTCCAACGTGGGCACCAAATTTTCTTTATAAAATCCGTATATTATACGACGAATATCTTCCTGCAAACCCACGTCTATTCTTTTTAATTTTTGCCCTATGCGCTTTCTGTGGAAGGAATGGTTAACTACATCTCCCCTTTTTATAACCCGATAAATGGTAGACCGACTGATTTTTGTCAGGATACAAATTCTGTTTAAAATTTGATTTTGCGAGGAATCTGGATTTTCGTTTTTCAGACAATCATACATATTTAGGATTACTCTTTGGGTCTGTTCCTCTAAATCTTTATGAAAGAATTCTGCCTGCACAGGTTCATCAACCATCTCCTCGTGGCTTGGAGCATTTTCCCAAGGTCTCCAAAGAGCCATATTTAGGACACACAAGAACAATCAACACAACAATTAAATCAACAAGTAAACTGAGTATTCAAAAGTCAAAAACACACAAACTAATAAAATCTATGAAAAAACACGGACAGACTAAAGAAAACACGTTTATTCACCGCTACACGGCACTGGC